TTTTACATCTGATGAACATGCAAGAAGCAATTAAAATTCTCTGCACATGAGTCAGCAGGCTTACTGTTCCTGCCTACTTTCTGTATTCGACTGAAGAAGCCTACTGTGTAGGCGAAACGTTTCGGAATAAAGTTGCCTAACTGTTGCCTATGTGTCTTACCTACCAGGCTTACTGTTGTGTCTACGTGCTAGTTTGTTCCTCTCGTCCCAAACTACATCACAGTCTTCCTGGTGGTTGTGGTGACGAGCCTTAACAACTCCGGGAAATGATGGCTCATCTTAGATTACTTCCTCGCGCCTTCCACCTTTACCAATATATTTTTTCTTTGTAATGGAGTGAAAATTCACTACTTGGTGAAACTTCTCCGTCAAGAGTTTCCCAGGCAATACACACTTACTCATCAGTTTGTTATTATATACCATTAATGTACGTACGTTGGATTGCGTGCAGCCAGCAGTAACAGCCTGGTTGATCATGTTCTGATCCACCATGTGGCTTGGTCACAGACCGGGCCGCGGGGGCGTTGACCCCCCGGAACTCTCTCCAGGTAAACTCCAGGTAGCTGTTATCACGGGAGATGAGTCTTGAAACTCAACCAAACTTTTTTTTGTGTTATCCTAAGTAATTTATATATATGCTACTATGTATGATAACTTGTGTAAGTGTATTTGTGTGTATGTGTACGTAAATAAACTTAGTTAACCTTCCCACTTCTGTTGACAACATGACAGACTTCAATGTTCTCGTAGCCATTAACCTCATAAAAGTTATCAGTGTAAATAATACAAGGGTGAGAGAACACCTGTTAGCTAACTACAGCAACTGCAAATATCAAAATAACTCCATGTAGTTGATCATTGATGTGCCTTCAGAAGAATTTTTTTTAATTTTACTTAAAACATCATGTATATATGCAGAAGAATTATACAAATTAATAAACTTGCCTGTAAATGTATTTTCCCCTGAATAATCTTAGGCCTGAAGTTCCAGCCTTGCCTATGATGTTGAACAAGATGATGATTAACACACATGTTTGGCTTACACAGTAGATTCTTCAGTCAAATACAAAGGGAAGCAGAAGCAATGAAATAATGATGTAATCAGTGCATCAACCTTGGAGAAAAAGTATTTGAGGGGGTCAGTCCCTCAGCCTGGACACAAGTTCAGATCCATGGACTGATTACATCTTCATTTCATTACTACTGCTCCCATTGTTTTTAACTGAAGTAGTCTACTATGTAGACCAAACATTTCATCAATAAAGATACCCAACTGTTGCACATGCATCTTAATCTTCAACTTGACTATGATAAATCCAGTGGCAGAAAGAATACACTGAGAAATCCCACACTTCGAAAATAAACAAGAAACAAAACAGGGCTTATTCCCATTTCTGTTAGTCTTTTCAATATATCTTACAAAAAACCTCCTTGATAAATGACAACACAAGAGTCTACAATGAGGTGCTGATGAGATGCAACCAAGAAACAACTTAAAAATAGATCAAAGTTCAGAAATTGCATGGGTAGACAGTAAGTGTTGATGAGTGGAACAAGTTGCTCAGTAACATCACTGGAGGTAATACCTTGGGTAGATTTAAAACGACCTGCCTAAATTGGTCCACTTAAATAAACTTATTTACTTGTAGTATTGTAGATGAATGGTTCATAGATGAATGGTTCACAGAACCGACACGTTGATAAATTAGACATGTGCAACTCTTGGGTATCTTTATTAAGGAAACTTTTCGCCACACAGTGGCTTCATCAGTCCATACATAGGAGAAACTTGAAGAACAGGAGGAGAATGAGGTAATCAGTTCCTCAACCTTGAGTATACAAGACAACAGACAGTTTTGTCATATAGTATAGCCCACACTTACGAGACGAAGTTATAACATAATTTACACTATGATAACTGCACTTACGTGTACCTGCGCCTAAATACTTATTTAATCGCTCTCTCTCTCTACCTTTCCTTACACAATAAAACAATTGAATAGTACATTCCATTTATAAGGTCAACTGTAGTAGTGACAACAACTGCTCAAAATAATACCAACGTAAACTATAATAGGACCGACTTGGAGCCATCGTACTGTGACAAAATATTTTATAGTCGTCCTCTTTTTTTTAACCCATCTCTGCTAGAAGTGATAAGGTTCCTGGTGGACCAAAATTCTGAACACAATACCATTAACCACACTGTCTTAACATGGGCCAGCAGGCCTATATTATGCCAAACACAGCAAGAAACAAGAGTGTGATTATTACTATAATAAAAAAGAAGCACTAAACCACAAGGGCCATACAGCAACAAGAGTGTGAGAGGCGGGGCCAGAAGCTCGGACTTGACCCCTGCAACCTCAACTAGGCGAGTACAACTAGGTGAGTACAACTAGGCGAGTACAACTAGGCGAGTACAACTAGGCGAGTACAACTAGGCGAGTACAACTAGGCGAGTACAACTAGGCGAGTACAACTAGGCGAGTACAACTAGGCGAGTACAGGTAGGCTGGTCAGAACCAGAGGAAACAAGTCAATAATTTTTTTGGGGTTATCCTAGGAAATTTACACTATGATAATTGCACTTAATTATACCTAAATAAACTTACAAGAATTAAGTTTACCAAAAGGTACAGGTGCACATAAGTACATTGATCATAATTTACAAGTTTAACTTACCCAGGATACTCCAAAAAAGTCAAAGTGACTTATTTCCAGCGTGCTTCTTGTAATATGTAAATACATAAAGCCCAGCCTTATGTACTTCCATATTATGTATTATGTATTTCCATATTATGTATTATGTATTTCCATCACCATCTTCCCCTACACAATAAAAACCAATCCAAAAAGGTGCATTTCATTTATAATTTCGACTAATGTTGTGAAAATAATTATTCAAAATATAAATGCAAACTATACTAGCAAATAAATGCTATTTCCAGACTTTAAATAAGATATTACAAGGACCAAAACAGAAATAATTTTTATACCTTTCTGGGTTATCCTGGGTAATTTATATGTTAAAATACATATAATTGTACCTGTGTGTACCTGTGCCTAAATAAATTTACTCAAATCCCGCTCAAAAAAAAATCTGCATGTCTTTCAGGCCTACTGAGCCTAACACGTTTATTTAGGCACAGGTACACAGGTACAATTATCATAGTGTAAATTATCCATCAGAATAACTCAAGGAACTGGTCAGATGAAATGAATTATTTCCATTGTGATTCTAACAAAACGTTCGTCCACACACAAAAAAAATCAACCGACAATGCCAGTAAACCCCTAGGCCTACAAAGAGGGTGTTAATTACCTTGTATCTAAACCATTTAGGAGAAAAAAAAAACCAAAAAGGTAAAAAAAAAAAAAAAACAGGCCTACAATGGGGATGTTAACTAGCCTACATCTAAACTATTCAGAAAAAACAGGCCTACAAAAGGGGGCATTAAGTAGCCTACATCTAAACCATTTAGATAAACCCATAGGTTTACAAAAGGGGGTATTAACTAGCCTACATCCAAACCATTTAGAAAAACCAATAGGCCTACAAAAGGGGGTATTAACTAGCCTACATCTAAAAAATTTAGGAGAATTTTTTTTTTAAAAAACCAATAGGCCTACAAAAGGGGGTACTAATTAGCCTACATCTAAACCATTTAGAAAAAAAAACAATAGGCCTACAAAAGGGGGTATTAACTAGCCTACATCTAAACCATTTAGGAGAAAAAAAAATTGAAAAAACAATAGGCCTACAAAAGGGGGTATTAATTAGCCTACATCTAAACCATTTAGGAGAAAAAAACCAATAGGCCTACAAAAGGGGGTATTAACTAGCCTACATCTAAACCATTTAGAATTTTTTTTTGAAAAAAAAAAAAAAACAGGCCTACAAAAGGGGGTATTAATTAGCCTACATCTAAACCATTTAGGAGAAAAAAACAATAGGCCTACAAAAGGGGGTATTAACTAGCCTACATCTAAACCATTTAGGAGAAAAAAAATTGAAAAAACAATAGGCCTACAAAAGGGGGTATTAATTAGCCTACATCTAAACCATTTAGAAGAAAAAAACCAATAGGCCTACAAAAGGGGGTATTAACTAGCCTACATCTGAACCATTTAGGAGAAAATTTAAAAAATAGGCCTGCAAAAGGGGGGTATTAATTAGCCTACATCTAAACCATTTAGGAGAAAAAACAATAGGTCTACAAAAGGGGGTATTAATTAGCCTACATCTAAACCATTTAGGAGAAAAAAACAATAGGTCTACAAAAGGAGGTATTAATTAGCCTACATCTACACCATTTAGGAGAAAAAACCAATAGGCCTACAAAAGGGGGTATTAACTAGCCTACATCTAAACCATTTAGGAGAAAAAAAAATTGAAAAAATAGGCCTACAAAAGGGGGTATTAATTAGCCTACATCTAAACCATTTAGGAGAAAAAAAAAACAAAAAAATAAGTAAAAAAAAAAAACCTAACCCCCCTGAGCAGATTTCACCTAGAGGTGCCCCCCACCATGCCCCCCCGGCCCCCCCCCGCCCCCCATTACTCCGCCGAACCCGCGCCACGCGACTCTCGCCCTTACCGACCTGACACCTCCACCACATATATCCCAAATTTCCGCCAGTGGCCGGGGCCGTGGGGGCCCCGAAACCCCCGGGGCAGGTGTGGGGCCCCCTCCAGCGGGGCCCAGACGGGGTCAGCGCCCCCGGCGTGCAATTGCAAGGAAGATAAGAGCAATGTTGCAATGTAGGGCAAGTAATTTCCCTGGCGAGTGTCCCGTGAGGTCGACTCGGCCAGCATTTTCAGGCCGATTCACTCGGAATTTCTGGCCAGATTTGGCGTTTTATGGGTGTAAATGGGGAGGTGGAGGTGGAGGCGCGACGTAGTGACGCGGGAACCCCCATAGGAAGCCTCCAGGAAGTAAAAACAAGCCAAATAAGACAACAACAGTTGGCTACTTTCATTCAAACCTGATACTTACCAAGGCGAAGAAATTAGTGTGGCAATCTTCTAAGCTTGCCCCGTTTGTCTGTGAGTGCGTAGACATCATATATCCATTTTCGACACTACACTTGGATTGGTATCAATCCACACAGTATGGATTAATCACTTAAAACCACCAGATAACCACAATCTCTCCATGGATCTCACTATAATGGCGGATAGGAAACGAGATACGTTCCAACAATGTTCTCACCTTCGCTGTCAAAAGCCGTCTTTTAAGGTGAATGATGGCAGCTGGGAGATGATGCTAATATTGAGATGGTAAAATAACCGGTGTTTTGGATGTTTGTTTAGTGGGGGGATTGGGGTTTTTGGTTAACTAGGGGTTGGTGGTTTGGTAAACGTTGGAAAGCAAGTTAAATGTTGGCATTAATAAAGCTTCCAGGTTGAAATAAAGTGGTTTGCTTATTTCAGTGTGTCGGTGTTCACGTAAGGTCTAGTTATAATGTAAATTCTGCCGCGTTTGTGAGGTGTATGGGCGAGTGATGTAGAACTTGTGAAGACTATGAAGGTTCCTGAGAAAGTGTTGGCCTAGCGGTCTCAAAGGCCGTCGCTGATTGGCTGACACAAGTCACGTGACCTCAGCCATCATGGCCGCCGCCATAACAAATCTCTCTCGTCTGCAAGTTGGAAATTTACCCTCAAAACTCCTCTATAACGCCGCCGCCGCGCTCCTCCAGGTGATTATCACCGCAGCTTAACTTATGGAGGAAAAATCTCGCCCTGAAGAAAACGACATTATTTACTGACCATAAATCACTGATGTTTACACCTGGTGGTCGTAAATGTTTTAATTTTTTTTATATATTATTTTTGTAATGTTAATTTGATGATTTTTATCTTGGTTCATGTGACGTCTTGAGGTTGTTTGTTTGATGCCGGTGAGGACTTTGATCCAGGGAAGTAGAGCCACCCTCCTTTTGGTTGAAATTAACTCGCTACCCCCATGACCTCCCTACGGGTTTAGTGCTCACCCGTAATAAATTGATATGTTTAATTGATATTTGGATGTTCGGGGAAAAATAATCCATGCGGGTTTAGCGCTCGGTGACGTATTTAACCTGTACGGGTCATGCAGTACCTTGGGGTTTGATCCGAGGAGGTGGAGGGAAGTTCTTAAAATCTCTTGGATCAAGAGCCTATCTCCTTGATGTTGATAAAAGGGGCTCTTGATTCAAGGAATAAGAGCTTCCTCCCTCCCTTGGATCAAACCTCATTACCTCCCATTCCCGAGGTTAAATAATTTTTCGCACAATATATTTGCAGTGTTATGTTAAGTCTTCATACATCTCTTAAATAACATGTTTGTAGCAGCCCCTACAGGTTTGTGGCTCAGTGGTAGCTCCCTCGGCTCACAATGGAAGGACCCGGGTGAAGACGCACAAAACGACGTTATTATGTAATTTGCCTCCGCAAGTGAGGTTCCTTGATGCTGGTGAGGGGCTCTTGATCTAGGGTATTGGATCTGTGCTACAGTTCCCTGAATTAATCCTGAATACCTTCCACATCCCCCTCCAGGTGCTATACAATCCTACGGGTTTAGCGCTCCCCCACGATTATAATAATAATCTGTTATTTATTTTTAAAATTTCATTTTATAATTCACTCGAGGGAAACTCTATCCTAATAACTTGCAAAGTTTCCATTAAGGCGTTCGGCGAAGCTGTAACCGCTTAAAATGACCATTGTAAGTTAGCCCTGTGCTTCTTAGTATGTGTGGTCAGTAGTAACAGCCTCATTGATCAGGTCCTGATCTACCAGGAGGCCTGGTCATGAACCAGGCTGTGGGGGTGTTGACCCCCCAGAATACCCTCCAGGTAGCCTCTCCTTGTCACTTACGACGGGGCTCCGTTAAGATTTCGTTTGGATTTTTAACCCCAGAGGGTTAGCCACCCAGGATAACCCAAGGAAGTCAGTGCGTCATCAAGGACTGTCTGACATATTTCCATTGTGGTCCTCAATCTTGTCTCCCAGGATGCCACCCACACCAGTCGACTAACACCCAGGTACCTACTTGCTGCTAGGTGAACGGGACAACAGGTGTAAGGAAACGCTTCGAAATGTTTCTACCCTGCAGGGAATCAAGCCCAGGCCCTCCGTGTATGAAGCGAGAGCTTTGCCAGCCAGGCCACGGGGTCACCTGTGGCCTGGTAAACAAATTCGTGGCTAAGTGAGGATCATACTATAATGGTAGTGAGTTTGTATCAACCGTCTTTGATATTGTTGTATTAAGCATAATAGAGGGAATCATCTCTAATATACATTATTTGGGTATGCATACTGGTCAGAGAGCCCATCGTAAGTCCGAGCCTTTGGTAAACAAGTGTACATCGCTAAGTAAGGACAGGCTGTACTTCTAAATTTGTATAAGCGTACCTTGCTTTAAGAGGCCTCACCTTAGAGCACTTTGCAAACACAGTGCTTTTCAGTTATATTTACGTTTATTATTTTTGACGCTTGCCTTGCTATTAAGATGGTTTTTGGCAGTGACTTTTTTTTTTTTGTTATTTTTACTTTTGTATTTTTTTTTTTAGGCCTATTGCTATCAACCCTTCAACTGTCCAATCATACATATACGTTTTTGCGTGTAGCGCTCTGACCTTGATTTTCTCCATAAGAAAGCATGCTAAAAAACATAGATCTACGTTCGGAGCACTACGCAAGCAAACATAGATCTACATTTGGACAGTTTAACGGTTAATAATGAAAGTGTAAATTTGTTTTTAAGCTTTTATATGCATTAGCAAATGTAAAAAAAGGCTGTGATTCACTTTAAGGTGGCGGTCTGGAACCTACTCCGCCATATCAGCCAGGTATGACTTTATGGAATAATTTTTCACCGATGGGAAATTATAAGAAACTTCTGGCCAATTGTAAGCTTCTCTCTCTCCTATTTATGGGTTATTTGTGTATTATTCCAGTCACGGTAGTGTGCCTTTTTCTTTTCTTGATAAGGTTCACTTAGGCTAAATCAAATAATTCATTATAGTTGATAAATTAGATACAAGTGCAACACTTTGGTATCTTTATTGTGGAAATGTTTTGCCTCACAGTGACTTCATCAGTCTTATATAAAACATAGTGAAGATCAGAAGGAGTTTGATGTAATCAGCCTTTAGGGACTGATTACCTCAAACTCCTGATCTTCACCATTTTTCTTTATATTGGACTGAGGGGTGTTAATATTGCAGTTTTATAACTGCAGTGTAAGCACATGTCTGGCAAAACAGTGATGGAGTGAATGATGATGAAAGTTTTTTTTTCGGGCCACCCTGCTTTGGTGGGAGACTGCCGATGTGTTAATATAATATAATATTGGACTGATGAAGCCACTGCGTGGTGAAACATTTCCACAATAAAAATACCAAAGTGATGCTCTTGTGTCTAATTTATCAACTTCTTGATTCTCTGAACCATTTGTCTACAATTCATTACAGTGTGCTTAGCACCTAGTTTTGATTGTAACAATAATTCATTACAGTGTGTGTGTATAAGAGTAATGCGTGTATTACTCTCATTAGATAAATGTTTAATACTGTCTGTAATGCTGTATATAATAAACTAGAATAAATTTCATATTCACCATTAAGGGAAAACTATCCTAAATCAACAGCATGGGCAGCAGTGTAGATCATCGTCATCTCCAGTGGATACTTCAGATGAGGAAGAGAACTTTCTACCTGATAGGAGGTTTTCCTTTGACGCAGAGTCGCTAGCGGCTAGAGGGTATGTTTGTATCACCCTCACTTTTTTTTTTTTTTACACGCCAGCAGTCTCCCAGCAAGGCAGAATGACTTAAAAGAGAAAACACGTTTGTCACTAGGTCACTGTGTAATAATAATAATTTTGTTTCAGCATGATAGTGTTTGTTCAGAGATGAGTGACATTTAGTTGTGCCTGCAGAAAGCCCGTAGTTATGAAGAACTGTCCAAACGTAGATCTACGTTTGGACAGTTTGAGGGTTAAGCCCAGCTTAAGACTATAATGTGTGTCTGTTGCATTATAGATAGCCCTCTCAACTGCAACATTCTCACCCTTTCTTATTTACGTTCATAATTTTTTTCTAGTGAACTGGCCATATCCCAACGAGGTAGGGTGACCTAAAAAGAAATGAAAGGTTTTTTAAAATTTAGTAATTTCCAAGGAGAAGGGGTTACTAGCCCCTTACTCCCATCATTTTAATTGCCTCATACGGCAGGCTTGGTTACATTCATATTATTACTTAATACTTCAAGTTGAAACACTACTTGTAAGAATATATGGTAAGTACTGTACAGTGCCAGATCAACCAGGCGGGGAATTACAGTGGACCCCCGCATAACGATATTATTTCAATCCAGAAGTCTGGGTGGCGTTATAGACCGAATTTGTTCCCATAAGAAATATTGTGAATTAGATTAGTCTGTTTCAGGCCCCCAAAAATACACCTACAAAAGCACTTACAAAAATACACTTACATAATTGGTCAAGTTGGGAGCTGATCGCTATGCGGGGTCCACTGTATTAGTTTGGAAGAGATCAACTTATTAAATAAATGTAATCTATAACATGCCAGAAAATTGTTGGCATCTGTGAACTAGTATGTGACTATAAATTCTCATTTTATCATTGTGTTAGATAAGGCAGGGGCAGCATAAAACTGAGGAGTTGCCAGAAGTATTGGTTACAAGAGTAGCAGAAGTATTCACAAGATCACTACAAAGAAAACACATGACCTGATCTGAGCCTCACAGTCTTGTCTGCTCTTCCATTATAACTAAAACCAAAATTTTTAAAGAGTGGACTGGTAAGCCAGCGGAAGGCCTTGGTCAGACGACCAAAAGCTCTAATGGCGGGTCATCATCTGACTAAGACCCGTGTCAGGAAACACTTACCCTGTTTCCTGACGAACCTAACCTAACCTTCCATTATATGTTAGTAGCTGTGGGAATTATCTTCCCCGCATCCTGGTCTCAGTCCAGGCCTCCCCGCTGAAAGGAAATATTATTACATAAATAATAAGAACATAAAGGAGCAACATTGCCCTACTGGTACATCCTAGGCAGATTCAAGTCACACCCACTCAAGAAGGAAGGAGCACTGCTGCAGGCCTGCTGGTTTGTGCTAGTCAGGTCTAACACTCCCGTACACCCACACCCACTCATGAGCCAGGTTTGTCTGATGTTAGCCTGGTTAACCAGGTTGTTGCTGCTGGTGACCCACTGATCCACATATCCATCACAGCCTGGTTGATATGTTCACTCTCTTGTACCTAAAATTATTAGTTAAAATAGCTTATTGATTAATTTAAGACTTTGCAGGTTTTTTTTTTAATAATTTTCATATAATATTTCTATATTTTTTAAACTATTCCTTTTTTATATTTACAATAATTTGCAGTCAGCA